CTAGTGGCAAGCAGTGCAGTGATAAAGTCAGGGGGCGTGGGTTCAACACTCACCCCATGCAAATCCTTTTATCCTATTTTTCTTTTAACCTAATTTCCTTTCTTTTTCATTTCTAACCCTAATTGTTTTAATCAATCAATAATTAAACTAACCTATTTTTTTAATACTAATAAATTAGGATTAGGTTTTTAACTAATATTTAATTTTCTTGATTTTTTATTTACTAAATTAATTAATTAACCTTTTTTTAAAATATTAAAATCAATTAGAATTTAGGTTTTTATTAATTATTATCACTTAAATTATTTTCCATAAAATACCATAGCATTAACACCTAGAACTTTAGGTCTTTCAAACTTCTTTTTCCTAAGCATCTTCTTATTTCTTTTTTATTTAAATTCATAGAAAAATTTATAGGACGCACTCTCTATTGTAATAGCGTAGATTTATTTTCTCGCAATTTTTTCTAATTATATAACTTCTCACAGGATGTAACAGCTTAGGTTTAATTTTCCACATTTTATATTCCGCACATTATATTTTTAACTGTTAGTAATTAGGGTTTGTATGACAAGACTAATAATTGAACCTAGAAAACCCTAATTCTCAAGATAAAATAACTGAAAACAAACACTTCGTACACTTGCACCTCTAGGGTATCCTCCCTTGTTGTCTTACGAAATATCGGTCACCTCCCTCGAAAGTGGAGATACTTTAGCAAAAGACCCTCGATCAAATCATCATGTCCCTTTCGAATGAAGATCATAATCCTTCGATGACCCTTTGAGCTGCCTACAAAATGATCTAGTCCCTTCGAGTTGCCTACAAAATGATGATATTCCCTTTGATACAATTACTAAAGTATCCTTACTTGTTGCCTTCGATGACCATACAATGACCTTACGCCTGTCCCTTCACATCCAATACATAAGGATACCTACCAACTAATGGTATGAATAGTACTATCTCTAAAGGAGGAGGAAAAGAATAAGAAAGACTTTAGTGGGTAAGAAACTCTTAATTTCTTGCTCACAACGTTTTCTCAAAACTTTTTTTTCACACTACACTTTCAAACAAATATTTTTAAAAATAACAATTTGTATACATTCTTGAGGACTGATACAAGAATCATTACAAAGCAGCCTTACATTGGCGATTTCAAAATATTTTCAAACAAATCATACACACAAAGCAAGATTTTCAAAAGTGAGCTAAGTAATTAAGAGCTTGTAGATAACTATGGATGAAAAGGATGCTAACATCTTCCCTTTTCATATCTTACCCCCCCGAACTCAAAATCTATCAAAGGTCTTTCCTGTTCTTTTCACCTTTTCTAAATATTAGATAAAAGAAAAGTCGGTGGCAACTCTAGCTATCCGCACATTTGGATAAACCCAAAAAGTCAGTTCTCCCACCGTATTACACCTGGATTTGCATATATCTATAAATTTTAAGAATGACTCTTTGTACAACATGTTGATAGACAATGGATCTGCTTTGAATATCATACCAAGAAGCACTCTCTATCTCTCTCTCTCATTTACTTTCAATTATAAATTATTGAATTTGTTCATTGTGCAACTGAAACGTTTAGATTAAACATTTGGTAAATTTAAAACTGTTTTATTGAGTTGATTACAATCTATAATATTGTAATTAGTTTTTGAAATTAACAAAATAATAAGAAAAATCTTATCAACATCAATTGGACACAAAGTGTTTAAAAATTTCCTCTTTGTGTTTGTTGTTTTAGATTTCATTGGAAACATGTTACTATTGTGTTTACATTTAAACGTGTTGTTTGTGAAAATATATTGTCTCGATTACTTATCATTATCATCGCATATAACATTGGTTTAACACATATCTGAGCTTTTTGATAATGGTTCGAATTAGACGATATTTGATCCGGGTGTTTTTCGGTTGTCATAGTGAACAAAGTTTTCAAAACTAATTTTCAAAAGAAATTTTTAACTTGGGATCTATTCACCCCCTCTAGATAAGTTTCCTTCGTCTAACACCTTGAAATATAGTCTTCACTTGAATGTAATTTGGACATATTGTTGACTTAAAAAAGATGACTTAATCTTGAAGAATATATTCAAAATGATAACTTAATTCAAGAGGATAACTTAACCAACCATCTGGTGCATCTTTGACATCTCCAGCTATCTTCAACATATACTAACTTCACTATATATCCTTTGACATCAGGTGTTGTCATGATCAAAACTAAATATCTACTCAGTTGACTTGAAACTTTTCTATCCATAAGCTTTACCATCTTGAATCATCTTGATTATATCCGCTAGTAGATAAATCCATAGGTTGGCCATGAAAGGATTATTGTGCAAATATGCCATAATAGGAGACTTGGAAATTTAGAAAAATAATTGATAACCATACATGTATTAGGGATAATAAAGTAATATTAATTACATCAAAATAGTCAAGTAATAAGATACACACCAATATGAAGGAGAATTCAATATTAAAGTTGATAGGCATAATGGAAAAGACTCAACATAAGTGGAATGTAGGAATCAATAAGAAATTTGCATATAGGGCAAAGTCACTTGCTATTGATATTATGGATGGCTCATTTGGGGAACAATATACAAGAACATGATTACTTATATGAACTTTTAATGTCAAATCATGGGTCAACTGTGAAAGTTACAACTCAATTATTTCATGGCAAAGAGAAAAACCTTTAGCATCCTGAGAGGCCACTGAACCTACATTTTCAAAGGATATATATATATATATATATATATATATATATATATATATATATATATATATATATATATATATATATATATATATATATATATATATATATATATATATATATATATATATATATATATATATATATATATATATAAGATAGTTTTTTTTCAAGTGAAGACCCATAATAGCATTAGATAGTTGTTTCTAAAAGGGTTATTATGGAGGTCAAATCCTAGAAGCTACTGGAAGGGACCCAAATGATCAAATATTACTAATAGAATTTATTATAGTTAAGGGTGAAACAAAGAATTTATGGAGCTAATTTCTAGAGTTATTGACCAATGACTTAGGAGGTGTCACGTTGTGCAAGACATATACATTCATCAGTGTTTAATAAACAATATATGCATGTATACAATCATTTATCAATACTTATTTAGGTTAAGAACATATATAACATTTTTTATGAATTGCAGAGACTTTTGTCAACACTTGAAAATTTGCTCCCATGTGTGGATCAAAGATTTTGTGAAAGATAATACTTCTAAAACTTTAATATCGTACTGCTTGGTCTTATACATGTGTTAGTTCTAATATGATATTGTTTAGTAGGCATGTATACAACAATTTTAGAAAGAATTTTCCAGGAATTAAGCTGGAAGAATTGATGTGAAGCGCTACAATTGCAACATATGTAATGCTTGGAAAAAAACAATGATTTAAATAAGGGTTAAATATGTTTTTGGTCCCTCTAAATATAGCAGTCTTCAACTTTAGTCCCTCTAAATATTTCCTTCAAAGAATGATCCTCCTAAAAATTTTAATTTTAACTTTTGGTCCCTCATGGCAAAATCGTAGCTAAAATGGTCTCTAATTTCGTCGCTAAATAAAAAACCGTCGCTAAATTGTAAAAAATTGTCTCAAAATTGCATAAGGGACCAAAAGTTAAAATTAAAATTTTTAGGAGGACCATTATTTGAAGAAAATGTTTAGAGAGACTAAAATTGAAAACTGTTATATTTAGAGGGACCAAAAACTTATTTAACGCTTTAAATTAAGGTAATTAATGAATAGACATTCAATCACATACTAAAAATTACACCAAGATTTTTGAGCAAATCTAAGTTCAAAACCAGTACAAGACTTACTATCAATCTATAATTTATCTTGTAATCATCGGCTCTAAAAAGATAACCTAATAAGCTTAAGAATAAAAGAAGCAAAGATACCGAAAAAATGATGAGAGATGAAACACAACTAAATTAGTAAATTTTGAAATCAAATATAGTCGGTGCCATATGAATGAACATATATGAATGAACATATAATAAGATTACTTTCAAACTCCCACCACATTTGACACAAGATGCTTATCAGTCTAACAATGAGGCTGCAGAAACTAGGCAAATCCAAATGAGTCACCACCAAGTCAGGCACCATCAATTCAGCAAGCATGACCCTCGTAAACTCAAACTCTTGCAAAGAAGAAAAAAAATTCAAAAATGTGCCAACACCAAGCCAACCTCAATTGATGTAATTTTTTGTGATCATTTTTTAATCTCATTTTATAATATTTTGATCTACTAGTACTTGTAATTTTGCTCTAACATGTTGGTGTCATTTTGTCAAACTTACATACATCTTGTGTTGCTATTTAAGTACAAGTTAACATTTTTTTTTCAAAATTTAAGAGAAATGACCGAATTGGCTAACAAAATTATTTTGGAAAAACTAAAAAGTAATATTTATTAGATAAAACATAAAAGATAAAAGATAAAATAATAATAATTTATGTTTGAAATAGTAAGAAAAGTTAAATTAAACTTCTAGCTTGTACCAAAAAAAGAGAGAAGAAAATACTAGTAGTATGGTAGGAGATTTTGAGAGAAAGGTGACACTTGTCTTTATTAGACAAAGATTTGTAATTGATATGTTATTTTTTGTATAATTCATTCATATTCATCCATTCATTCATTCTTCCATTCATGCACATTTCTTTGATTTGATATAACTAAATGTTGCTCCCTCATACATCGCCATCTCTTCCTCCTTGCCGCCATTTCTTCATAGGAAAACCCGAAATTCCAGCTCTTGTTCTTTCTCTCTCTCTCTGTCGTTTCTCTCCATCTTCCTCAACCCTTGTTCATCATGAATCTCTTTGTTGAGTTCCTTCACCCTTTGTCATGTTAATAATAAATCTTACATTTTGTAAATAAATAAAACCAAAAAAATAATAATATAAACGCATCTTTTCTGATGCCAAAATGAACAAAAGAGATAAAATAAAGAAACATTGTAGTTTTGTTGTTGTAATTGTTGTATTCTTCAGTTTCAATGTTGGGCCACAGCTTGTTTCTTGTCAGAAAAATGCTGGTGGTGGAGGTGGTGGTAGTTCAGGTGCTGGTTTTGAGATTTTTGCTAAGGAATTGTATAATAGTATGTCCAATTATACAAATGTTTTCAAAGGTGCAATCAAGAAAGAGTTGGGTTATTGCATAATGGATGTGTGAGTCCCTTTGGACAACAATGTTTTTCTTTTCTCTCATGAATTTCTAATAATTCTTGTCTTGATGATTCGAATATGTGTGTCTTGTTTTTCCTTTAGGGATGCTGATTGGGATGGTGCTTTCAATTTCACCAAAGATCTCACATTTTTGACCATGTGTGCCCAACAAATGAAAGGTACTTTACTTCTATCATTCAATCCATTTGGAACACCCATTTCTTAGTACTCAAGTTTTCAAATGTCAAAATTTTATACTTTTGTCTCCACGCCGCGAACATGAATTAAAACCTTGATATTAATATGATCATGCCACTATTGACAATGATCACACACAATGTGATTCTTGTGATGACAAAAATATGTTTGACCAGCCGCAGTCGCAGCCATATGTTGCGAGACTGGTTAGCAGGATCGTTTTTGAAGACGTGTAAGGCGGGTTACCGCATATAGCCCAAAATTTGCTATAGCTAAAAAGGGTCTCATGAAACATTTGTCACGGTTAATCTGTGGTTAAATAAGACCCATAATTGTTTTGTCACGGTTAAACTGTGACTAACCTACACAGAGCCTTCAAAAACTTAAGACGTCCTGCTCGTTATTAATTGGTTAAAAGCTTTAAGATACCCTAGATATTGGATGAAAGAGCTAGTCATTGGTGGAAAGCTTTATGATACCCTAGTTATTGTATGAAAAAGAGGAATACCTTTAATAATGCAAAGTGTGTGGGGACTAATAGTGTTATATGTTATCAGTTTTTTCGATAGTACCAATGTGTGTTTGTTTATGGTGACATTGTTTTTTCAGGAGATATTACACAGAGAATGTGCACGGCGGGAGAAATAGAAGCGTATGCTAGAAGTTTTGCAGGAGGCTCAGGAAAAGCCAAAGGAAACTTATTGAAGCCAAATCATAACTGTAATTTGAGTGCTTGGCTTAATGGATGTGAGCCTGGTTGGGGTTGCAAAGCTAATACAAAAATTGATCTTAATAGTAAGAAGAAGGAAATACCTTCTAGATCCCTTGATTGCCAACCTTGCTGTGAAGGGTTCTTTTGTCCTCGCGGCATCACATGCATGATACGTAAGCATTTATATAAGCACTTCTGTTGAACTTCATAATCAATTATTTGTGTTATTGTTGTGCATTTATCTATCTGTTTTCTTTAGAGTCGGGTTTGTTGTTATAACACGTAGTTATTAAACTTATTATACGTTCTTTGTTGGTTTTATTGAAGCTTGTCCTTTGGGCTCTTATTGTCCTCGAGGGGAACTCAATAAAACTAGTGGAATATGCGCACCGTAAGTACTTCCCTTTAGTTCTATACGATGTGCATTCGTATTTTTGGCATACTTTAATTTATCAGCAGAATCAATCTGCAGATATCGATATCAGTTACCTCCTGGAAAAGATAACCATAGTTGTGGAGGAGCAGATATTTGGGCCGACATTGCTAGTAGTAGCGAGGTATTCTGTTCATCAGGATCATACTGTCCATCTACAATCATACATAATCCTTGCAGTCGAGGGTATTAATATTTTTCCCTCAACTTCTACTTCCCAACATTCGATATTCGATGAATTGCATTCACCTTTCATATATTATTCTTTTAAGCTAATCATGTTAATATATGAATTGCAGGTATTACTGCAGAACAGGTTCTACGGCTCAAGAGAGTAAGTGTATCCGATTCTGTTATATGAATTTTGTATGAACTGAATCAACTAAACTCTTATTCTTCTTCTACAATGATGTGAAGGATGCTTTAATTTACGCGGTATAAAATAATAATTCCATTGAACCTTTTCATTTTCTTGATTTTTGTCTTCCTCAGGATGTTTCAGGCTTGCAAGTTGTGAGCCTAAATCGGCAAATCAAAATATTACTGCATATGGTCTCCTGGTTTTTGTGAGTAATCTTTAACCTTTTCAATTTATGGAGTAATCAAAACTCGTATTATTTTGATAAGTATTACATATACGAGTTTAATAGAAATGCATGTTAGCGTAAAAAAGTTATACGTGTCACATTTCAATGATATATACAATGGTCGACAAAGAACTTACTATTCAATAATCAATCTAGGCCGGCTTGTGTTTTTTGCTGATTATCATATACAACTGTTCCGATCAAGTTCTCGCGACTCGAGAAAGAAGACAAGCAAAATCAAGAGAAAGGGCTGCTGCAAGCGTGAGAGAAACACAAGCACGCGAAAAATGGAAATCAGCAAAAGACATTGCTAAGAAACATGCATCAGGACTACAATCACAATTATCGCGTACATTTTCTCGCAAAAAAACATCGAAGATGCCAGATTTTAAAGGTGTGTTACCACCTATGCCTGGTTTATCAAAAGGAAAGAAAAAGGATAAAAACAACCTCTCAAAAATAATAAATGATATTGAGCAAGATCCTGATAGTCAAGAAGGGTTCAATGTGCAAATAGGAGATAAGAATGTGAAAAAGCAAGCACCGAGGGGTAAGCAATTGCATACTCAGAGTCAAATTTTCAAGTACGCGTATGGTCAGATCGAAAAGGAAAAGGCGTTACAGGAACAAAATAAGAACTTGACATTCTCCGGAGTGATTTCAATGGCTAATGACATTGATATAAGGAAAAGGCCTACGATTGAGGTTGCTTTTAAAGACTTAACACTCACTTTGAAAGGGAAAAACAAGCATCTGTTAAGATGTGTGACTGGTAAGATATATCCGGGCCGAGTTTCTGCAGTCATGGGTCCATCTGGGGCTGGTAAGACAACATTTCTTTCTGCTTTAACTGGAAAAGCAACCGGATGCCACACAACTGGTCAGGTTCTTGTAAACGGTCAGGAGTCGTCTATTCGATCATTCAAGAGGATCATTGGCTTTGTTCCACAAGATGATATTGTCCATGGAAATTTGACTGTTGAAGAAAATCTGTGGTTTAGTGCCAGATGCAGGTATGCAACATTGAAATCCAAAACTTATTCTCTTGTCTCATTCTGCATGCCAAATCGCAAAAAATAGCAGTTAGTTCAAATTTCGCAATACTACAGTACTGTAGCGCCACTATATCCGTTATTTGACGATAGTGTATTGGAAACAATAGCAGTTTGTCTCACTTTTTACTAAATTTATGTTATTGCAGACTCTCGGCTGATCTACCGAAAGAAGAGAAGGTGTTGGTGGTCGAAAGAGTCATTGAATCCTTGGGTCTGCAGGCAATACGAGATTCTTTGGTTGGGACAGTGGAGAAACGAGGAATCTCTGGAGGTCAAAGGAAGAGAGTAAACGTTGGATTAGAAATGGTTATGGAACCTTCTCTTCTAATTTTGGATGAACCTACATCCGGTTTGGACAGTTCATCTTCACAGTTACTGCTCAGAGCACTTAGACGCGAGGCTCTTGAAGGTGTAAACATATGTATGGTCCTTCACCAACCGAGGTAATTTTTAATAGCAAATGATAACAAGTACTTTAAAGACAGAGAGAATAACAAGTCCTGTAGTAACACATTCACTAACACTCTTTTATTCGTTTATTCGTTTTCATGTGGTGTCCAGTTACACGTTGTTCAAGATGTTTGATGATTTTATACTGCTTGCTAAAGGAGGTCTAACAGTGTATCATGGACCTGTGAACAAAGTGGAAGAGTACTTCTCTAGCATGGGGGTCTTTGTCCCGGACCGTGTCAACCCTCCGGATTACTACATTGACATTTTAGAAGGAATATTAAAACCAAGTGCGAGTTCAGGAGTGAACCATAAACAGCTACCGGTTAGATGGATGCTTCATAATGGATATCCTGTGCCTATGGATATGCTGCATACTATAGAAGGAATGTCAGCTCCAACCAATGTTCCAACACAAGGACCTAACCCTAATGCAAAGCTTACTGCCGCACCTTCTTTTGCCGGAGAGCTTTGGCAGGACGTGAAGTGCAACGTTGAGATGAAGAGAGACAATCTTCAACTCAACTTCTTAACTTCAAACGATTTGTCCAATAGGACTACACCAGGATCTTTCACGCAATACAAATACTTTCTTGGAAGGCAAGTCACAAGAGGAAGGATATTTCAGCTAACTATTATAAAATCTTGATTTTTTATTTGATCTAAATTGGTTCCATGCAGAGTTGGTAAGCAGCGGTTGCGAGAAGCTAGAACGCAAGCTGTAGATTTTCTGATTCTGCTGCTGGCTGGTGTTTGCTTAGGAACACTTGCTAAAGTGAGCGATGAATCGTTTGGAGCAACTGGTTATACATACACCGTAATTGCAGTATGTAAGTTTCATCTGAATTTGTTGGGGCTTATTTGGTGTCTAAATCTCTTTTGTTTTTAACTTTCTGTTTTTACTTTTGGTTACAAAATATTCACCTTACTTTCAATCAGTTTTCTCAAGCCAAACTGACCCTTAGTTTTCATAATGTCTTTATTTTCAGCACTCCTTTCCAAGATTGCTGCTCTGAGATCGTTCTCATTGGATAAGTTGCATTACTGGAGAGAAAGCGCTTCTGGAATGAGTAGCCTCGCTTACTTTCTTTCAAAGGATACAGTTGACCATTTCAGTACAATCATCAAACCTTTGGTTTATCTCTCCATGTTCTATTTCTTCAACAATCCAAGATCATCTTTCACAGATAATTACATCGTTCTACTATGTTTGGTGTATTGTGTCACTGGCATTGCGTATGTGTTGGCAATCTTCCTTCAACCAGGTCCAGCCCAGCTAGTAAGTATCAAAATCATTTCAACCACAGTTGATATCGTTATGCCTTACTCGCTCTTAGTTACAAGTCATCTCTTGTGTTATGTTACGCAGTGGTCCGTGTTACTACCAGTAGTTTTGACTCTGCTAGCAACTTATGACAATGAAGAGGGTAGCAAATATGTGGAATTTATGTCTGATCTATGCTACACCAAGTGGGCTCTTGAAGCATTTGTTATATCAAATGCTAAAAGGTTTGGATTCTGATATATGCTTGTTAACAATGTAGCACTTATTCTTTAGACCTAAAACGTATCTTAAGTGTCTGACACATGTCAATGTCTAACACTAACAGTTGTGATTATATACAATCACTTCTATTTTCCCTGCCGACTAATTTATGACGTTTTTTTTGCCATGTAGGTATTCTGGAGTTTGGTTAATAAGCCGATGTGGTGCACTCAACAAATACGGCTATGATCTCAAACATTGGTACCAATGTTTAGGACTCCTCGTTGTGACAGGAATAATCAGTCGCATGCTTGCATTTTTTTGTATGATGACATTCCAGAAGAAATAGTTTCAGCATTCAACTCTGATTTTTTATTCGGATAAATTAAAGACTACATGTCTAAGACTCTGGCTGGTGCTAAAACTCATGAGTCATGAACTAGTAAAGCAATGTGACATGTGTTGTATCATTGTATAAAAATAGAAGATTATCAGAGCAAATTTGAGAGCAATTGTTAGGTGTGGATAAAGTAAAGTAGCCTTAGACTTTCTTAGAAGATACCCTTTCTCACTAATTGCTGTTTTCAAAGCAATTATTAGTTTCCAATATGCTTCAACAGCAAGCTCAGCATAACACAGTATAGTTTAACAGTTGTTTAGTTTAACAGTATCATTCATTCCTCCACCAATTGGTTTGGTGGTGACAACAGCCAAATGTATGATTATCACACTATCAATGTATTTATAAATTATTCTATTCTTTCAATAAAGGTGTGCATGAATTGCTAGTTGTAACATACATTTATTGCCTTATAACTTATAAGACACTACTACAATTCATTGAGCAAGAAAAGAGACTGACATCTAAAAATTAAAATGAATTATGTAACAAAACAGTTGGCACCCCAGTTCACTGCCTGAAAATGCAAGAATAGTTGTGTTAAACTTCCTAAAAATGTTAAACAGTTTCTCTATAATGTGATTCATGTTCCTGAACTTGGCGAATTATCTGCAACGAAATTTTCATCTCCAAAGCTTATCTCCCATGAATTTGAGAGCTGGAACGCCTCTTATTTCCATATCCACCAAGGGTGCCTGGCATAATCTCAAGCCAGAAAGTTCTGAATCATTGCGGATAGTTTCAATTGCCCGCATTTGATCCTACGTGTAAACCAATCAAACCAAAACAAATTAACCAATAATAAAATGTGAAAACCTCAAGGTGCATGTCGCGTGCATGACTAGCACCAATCAAGGCATATTATAAAGATGGACGAGTAATTTCTGATTACCTTTATTTTCATTGAACAAAACTTGCAGTCCGACGTAGGAGGTAAGACCTGATTAATAATTAGTCTTTTAACAGGCACACTTTCTTTCTTCAAGGATGCATGTAATCTGGACGATTCACTAATCGCCATAATCTTGATGAGGCCATAATCAAACAATCACAATATGAGTTAAGTGAAAATTATATAAAAAGCAGACAAAAAGTATTTTACAATCAAATTTGATGACAAGTAAGCCCATTTCAATAATCTTAGCATTACCGTAGGAATTGTGACTATTATAAATTCGGTAGTGTCTGAGTTATGGAAAAGATCGTGTATTTTTGCCACTCTCTCCTTAAGCTTTTCAAGTTTGTCTAACTGCAAGTTCAAATACAAAATAATAAGACTTTTGAAAAGGGGGAACAATAATACTATAAAAATATAATAGCTTACAGGATTGTTTTGAGGTTGTTCTTTTCCCAACAAGGAATTGAAGACTGAGCCTAATTTCGCCTTCATCTGAACAGAGCAATTGATTTAGTAAAATTCTAGTGTGATGAAGATGATTGTGGCCTAGTTAAATAAAAAGTGAGGTAGTGTAAGTTTTAATGGATATTAGTTATACCTTAATAAGTTTGCCAACAGATCCATCCAAGAATTCAGGCAATGACAGTAGCCGAAGCGTATGACCCTATTGACAGATTCATAAACAATTATTTGTTTTCTTCCTATGTTTGCATAAACACGTCATAAACGAACTAATAATTGTTACTAACCGTTGGTGCTGTATCAAAAACTATCCGACTGAACTTACTATACTCTTCCGTCTCAAGAAATTGCATCACCTGGATTAAAATGGCATAATCAGGAGACAAATCAGAACACATTTTCCATGCTATGCTTAATGTCCCGAATGCTAGTATTTAAAATAAATAAATAAAATGATTATACATGCCTTAGTAATTGCAATGATTTCATCTGTTCCAGGTGGAGGAGTGTGTAACAGCTCTTCAAGCTTAAGATCCCCTAACTACAGCAATGTCATTAACACAAGAAGGGAATGTTAACAGCATTTAATCTAGTCTGTACTTTGCAGCAACAAATTGTTGATCTTGAGATCTTTTTCAATAGTTTTTCTAAGTCTTCCTCTACCTCTAGTTGTTTAACTTCTCACTATCTGATCTACTCTCCTTATAACAAAATCTACAAGTCTTCTCTCTACATGCCCAAACCGCATAAGTCTATTTTCCGACATCTTTTCTGTTATAGGTGTTACCCCAACACTCTATCTAATATTGTCATTTCTAATCTTATTTCGTCTAGTGATAGGAATGAGCTTGTTAGTAAGGAATGAGATATATCGGCTAACAAAGGATTAAGAAAGGAGTATCAAGGAAAGGAGTGTTGTGGGTGTATGAGAGAAGAATTAAGAAAGGAGTATCAAGGAAAGTGTCACAACTGATGTGGCAAGTCTGTTAGGATATTTCCTATTCTCTTAATAAGTAGTTTAGTGGGGGAATAAGTTAGACAGGTTGTTATCTATCTTGTTCAATCACTCTTTCTCATAACTTCATGGTATGACTCGTAATTTTAATTCCCATATAGTTTGCACAATTTTGTATATCCCCTTTGTTCTTATAGATTGGAACTAAAATACAGATTGCTTCCTCTCCATTCATATGCAAGGTTTAAATGTTTCTACAACTCCATTGCAATCACAATACAAGGGATCACAACTGCTATGAAATACATACAAAGCCATGAACAATTACACTCAAAAGTACTCAAAACTAAATGCACAAACCACCTGGTCAGCAATTGCTCCAAGTCCGATGCTTTGCATTAAACTCTTAGCACCCCCACCACCAAGTTTTTGACCGGCTGTCCGGAATTCATCCATGGATTTATCAGGGTTTATCTGTCATGAAGCAATCAAAGAAGCAACCAATAATCATATAACGCAGTTCATCAAAACACCAATAAACCAATATCAAATCGTTCAATAACTATTCATACCTCAAGAGCATATAACGGAGAACTCACTCCTTCAACCGGGACAAGATTTCCTCCGGTCAAATCCTAAAAGGAGTTAAAGTTGTATCAAGATTGCAGAAACATATTTAGTTGTGTTACATTAATAACTACCTGAGCGAAAGAATCACTCAATGAATGAGCGGGATCAGTTGAAACGACGACAGTGGGGTGTCCATGATTAGCAAATTTGACAGCAAGAGAAGCAGCACAGCTTGTTTTCCCAACACCTCCTTTCCCACCAAGCATGTAATACTTCCTATCATTCCCTTTCACCATCTCATCAAATCCACAAACACTTTCTGCTGCATTACCTATCAGTCTCACTGCATTTTTCACACATTTACAATTACTCACAACATTGATTATTGTGATTGGTGTGATTTGAAAATTGGAATACCTTGAGATAAAGTGGGGAGAATGAAAGGTGTTTGGTGCAAGGAAGAGGAGGAGATTGTATTGAAGCTTGTGGTGATGTTGCGAAGAAGAATGGAGTTCTTTTGGGTCTTGAAAATGTGCCGAAGCAGCGCCGCCATTGCTAAAGTGTTTGCAGAAGCAGAGAAGCTATGTGAGAACAAAGACACTTTTCATTTGGGGGTTCAACTTGGGTTTACTCGCATGTAAAATTTAAAATATAGACATATTCCTAAGAAATAATTTTACACACAACTAATTGCAAATTTTTAATTAATTAAAAAATAAATATTATATTTTCTTCCTCCTACTTCCTAATTCTTCCTAAAAAAATTATTTGATCCGATATAAAATGTATTTATATATAAATGAAAAATTTAAAATAATTTATTTAATTTTAAAATGAACAAATAATTATATAAATTTAATTGCATTAAATAAATAATCATATAAAAAAAGAAATGTGAGATAGAGAAAAAAATACTATTTAAAAATAATAATTTTGTCAGTTAAATTAAGACAACTTTCAATTAAAATTAAATAGATATTGTGTTAGTATTGACTTGTGAGATAAATAAATTTTAATTTTATTAAAATTAAAAAATAGGTTATTAGTATTTTTAGTAATAATAAATAAATAGAGAGAAAAATTAAAATGAAAGTGATAGTGTGGGAAAAAGAAATGTGAGAGGAATTTGAAATTTAAATCAAGAGAGAGAATGTGTGTATTTAATATTTAATTGTAATTTAATTGATGAAGGTTAAAAATGAATGTGTGTAATAAGATATGAGAATGAAAAGAAAAGAAAAAAAGTGAACATTACTTAATTACTTAAATATCTTTTTCTTAGTGTAAATAATTGTTGTGAAGGAGAAATTTAGAAAGTTCATGTAATTGAATTGTTATAGATAGATAGTAGATAATGAAAATGTTGAAATATTTTATTAAAAATAATGTGTTTTATACACGCAACTTTATAAACAATCCATCTAGTTAAGAAGATCCTAATAGATGACAAAACTCTCATTTAAAAAATTGGATTGAGACTCGTTATAAGCGGAACACCTTCCAAAATAGTGAATCACTATCCAAAAATGCTATGAATGCATGATGCACAACAACGTTATATAAATGCGACAACGGCTAGTCAAGTGCATCATCATTCACATAATCATTACATAATCATCTTATAAATCGTTATATAATCATCACATAATCATCATGTAAATTGTCGCATAATCGTCACATAATCATCAAATAAATCGAGCATCATAGCATGACAACATATGATAAATCAATCTCATAAATGCTTAGGTATTAAAATCATACATATAACAACTCATATAATTCATTCATATTATAGTTTAGCTCGCCAGTTTCCCAACACTTTGAACGACGTGTCAATCGGATTCCTGAAACTCAAGTTACGTCACTTTGAAAATTCGGTCAGACTACGTCGCCTTTGCATCGCCCGGCGGTGGGTACATCGCCACTCGTTCGCCCGACGACGCTGGACCGACAGACCTTCTCCCATACATTTTCCAGGAGCTTGTTATTTCTCCATTCCCATCGCCGCTTGTATCGCCCGGTGTAACACTCCAATTTTATTAATTAGTTATATATTTTATTAAT